GCTTCGAAGCAGGTCCGTCTATAATAAAATAGATTTTGGTAACCCCACCCAAATTAGGACCCTTTAGCCATCATATGATAGCCATAGGGTCCTGGCCCTGAACATGTCACATGACTGTACAGGGGTCTAATCTTAAGCAGCGAGGTTGCCAACATTTAGGGTTTAGGGTTTAAGATTCAAGGTCCAGATGAAATACGAATCCTTGCATTCCTGGAAAATTTCAAGTCGAGCCACCAATACCATGGGTACGCCAGTAATGAGATAGGACTGAAACATTACAACTGCAGGAACACTGATAAGACTAAGCCCCAAATCCTACTAAACCCTAAAGTCTTGAACCCTAAACCCTACCCCGTAAGCCCTGAATCACAAGGAAAGCAAGTCCACGCGGCACAATAGGATAGAAAGGCACATGGGGGTTGTGTTGTTCTAAAAAGGGGCTATTACCCAAAGGGTCAAGTACCTAATATTCATATACTTACCCTAGACCTGTACTATAATTACTATTACCCAAAACCCAAGTACCCAATCATTAGGTACTCGGACCCTTAGGGTTATAGAAAGGAGCCAGAGGGAATACATTCCCTGGCCTGCCTTGGGGAGACGAGCCAGCGACTTCTCCGCCAGGTCCATGCGGACATGAGCTGATTCAAACCTGGGTTTATGGTTTTTGAGGGGACAAGATTTAAGGTTTTAGGGTTTAAGGTTTCAGGGGTTTAGGGCTTTAGGGTTAAGGGTTTCAGGGTGTAGGGTTTTAGGGTTTAGGGTTTTAGGGCGTAGGGTATTAGGGTTTAGGGTGGGTGTTACAGAAATTCAGCTGAGTGACTAAAATATTGATATGCAGGAAAAGATTGGGCTCTCTTTTAAGTGTAGCTTAACCCTAAACTCCTAATGTGCTGCTCCGCCCAGAGCGTTTGAAATTTCAAGCCCTAAGCCCTAAGCCCTAAACCCCAAACCCTAAACCCGAAACCCCAAAACCTTTGACCGGGGGCGTGTTTAGGGCTGGGCTTCAGGGTCCGAAGCACGGAGCCCTCCCTGGACGCAACAATTCTGTAGAAATAGTTGTCTTGTTTGACCTTTTTTGACTACTTCTTATGGGTTTTGAATCCCTAAACCCTAAGCCCCTACTCCTCGGTTTTGAAGGGGTTTAGGGTTTAGCGTTTCCTACTTTTCCCTAAACCCCAAACGGTTTAGGGTCTCCTACTTTTGGGAGGGGCTCGAGGTAACCCAGAGCTCTGGTTTGAGGTTTCCTTTGAAGCGTTGGCTTTCACATGAGCAGTCAAATGGGGGCTTCCCAAAATTAGGGTTTAGGGTTTACCCTGTTATAAACATTACAGTATTTCGGGCTGTATATTGGGGTCCCCTTATTTTGGGGAACTACCAAATCTCGTTTAGGGCTTGGGGTTTCAAGTGGACCTAGACCCTCAAACCCTGAATCAAAACCCTAAGCCTTAAACTCCGTTTCAAATTTAGGTGCGTTTAGGGTTTAAGGCCTAAAGCCCTAAACCCAACACCCTAAAATCCTTAACCAAAAAAAAACCTTAAACCCACTCCGTATCAAGTTTAGGCGTGTAGGGTTCGCCATGCAGGCTGGCGCCGAAGATGAGGAGGTAGATTTAACACATGTCAAAGTCAACCTTCACCCTCGAATTATGTTGTAGAGTTTGGGGTTTAGGGTTAATTGCATTGTTTGGTTTGTTTTGTGGGCTTTAGGCAATGATTTGACCTCCTTTTTGTGTTGCAGGTAAGCGTTCTGTTGGAATATTTTCCCATAAGGTATACGGTTTCGGTATTTAGTGTTGAGTGTTCCCCTGAACACGCAGAATATGTAACCTAAGATCTTTGCTGGCTTTTTTGGGTGGATGTTGGGCAGATATCTTACTTGCAAACTTTTGAGGTTCAAGCACGCTGAAGTGGACCTAGTTCAGGGGTATAACGGTTAGGTAGGCTTCTTAAATCCGCAATGCCTACACTCTCAACAAGCCTTGAAAACCCAAAACCTAAATCCTGAACAGTCTAGCAACATGATCGTGGCATCACGGGCTATAGCCAGGTCCATCATGTGCTGGCCGCCCGGATGTTCGAAGTCGGTCACATCATATACTTCACCACGGATGATGACATACCTGAAGTTCTTGGTTCTCCTAGCCCCTACGTTTAGGGTCAAGGGCTTAGGGTTTTGACCATACACCGACCCTCCCCCTTGCAGTATAATGTTTAGGGTTGTAAGCATGCAGTATGTAAGACCGTCTGCTTGTGATAGTACCTCAGTTTACATTTCTTATGAACGCATGCAGGCACATTATAAACTCTACAATTCGTAAGTATCCGGGACTATAAGATGAAGTGGGCTTAAGCAGTGTTTTTTCCTCTTTCCCCAAACCCTGCAACCCTAAACCCTCCGGAGAGTAATCAAGGTACTTAACAAGACGCGTAATACTTTCGTATCTTAACCTTTTGTTTGGGCCTATAGGGTTACTCTAGGCAGACCTTAAGCCTCAATCCCTAAACCCACAAACCCTAAACCCACAAAGCGCAAACCCCGGACCCGAAACCTCTAAACCCTGAACCTCTACCTGAACCTCAGACTATGTAAAATAATGGCCTTTATGGCTGTTATTAGGGGTTTAGGGCTATTGTTTTACATACTTTTGGGGGTTTAGGTAAAGCCTAAACCCTAAAACCCTAACACTACTAGAGCCTCTGAAGGGTTGAGGGTTGAGGGTTTAAGGTTTAGGGTGCCTGAGCCTGGCTTACGACTTAAGGCTTCCCAGACCCCTGGGAGGATCTAAAAAATAGATTCTCTATAAGAGTTTAGGGTTTAGGGTTTAGGGTAACTATAGAAAGCCATAAAACCCTATATAACCCCTATATAACTGCCCATAATCTTCTAGGGGATCGAACTTACTAAGCCCTAAAACCCTAAACCCTAAATCTTAAACCACAAAAGGGCTAGCCTTCACCTCTGGACTCTCAGCCATTGACCTCACCTTGAACCCTAAGCATGGGTCCAAGTACCCAAAAACTGAAGGTTTAGGGCTTAGGGTTTGTTACCATTACTTGGGGTTTGGGAGCGGATTTCTAATTTTGACTTTAAAAAACTAAGGAAATTTGGGAACCCTAAGCAATGGTAAGTTTATGTGGGCTCGAGGGTTTAGGGTAAGGTTTGGGTAGTAATACTTGTAGTAGAGATGTAGGGCAAGTATATGTAATTTGGGTAATTGGACCCTCACAGGGGAAGATTGGAGGCTGAACCCTTTATCCACCCCTACCTAGACACACAATTCAGGGGGCAGTTTAGGGTTTAGGGTACCTAGAGCAGCTAGACCTTTCAAAAAACGTACAGGTTCCAAGATATGAGGTACAAAACCCTTTTTGTTATAGGTATAGTGCTTACTCTCGGTAGGGCTTAGGGATCTAGACCTCGAAACTGCCGCGCCAAATAAACTCTTCGCGATCAACCCTTGATCTAAACCCTGAATCCTGAACTCCAAACCCTGAATTGACCACACCTTCAACCCTGACGCCTAAACCAAAAGGACTGAAGCTAACTGAAGCTCGAATTCCCAACATTCCTCACAGCATGCAACCCTTTCGCCGAAGCACAACATGGAACCTGAAAAACGGTCCCTTGCAGACTCCTGTCATGTAAGAACGGGGCTATACGGGATTCCATCTTGGTTTGGGGGAGGATTTCAGGGTTGAGGGCGCCTTCGCGCAGTCGTCTCTGGATTCTCGGGCGTAACTTCGATCTCGGGTGTGCAGCTCGGGACCCAGTGCAGGCGTCGAGTAAAGAGATAGACCATGGACACCTTCATGGCAGTTTCACAGATTCATGGGAGGGGCTATGGGTCTAAGGTCTCTATAGCAAGGACCCGTTTACTTTGGGGGTATAGAGGCGGGACATCAATTTCGAGAACTGCCCCTATAGAGGTCAGGGTTGCGAGGTAATTAACTTATTTTTGCAGGTCCAAAGTGCCCTAAAGGGTTTGGGGTTTATAGGGTTTAACCCTAAACCCTGAACCCTCAACCCTAAGCGCTCTCAACACCTTACGCACTCCAAGCTAACATGCCACCCCATAGAGCAAAGCCCCGTTGAAAACAGACAGTAGACTTTGCAGAGTTCAGGGTTTGGATCTTGGGACAGCTTCTGAAATCTCACCCGCAATCCAAAATTCTAAACCATAAACCTTTTACCACACCCAAGGTTCCAACTATTCCAGAGACCTGAGGCTGATTACAGGGGCACTCAGGGCCGAGAGCATGTGGGGGTAATAGGGGAGCGCATGATAAACCCTAGACCCTAGACCCCAACCCCTGGACCCTAAACCCCAAACCCTAAACCGCGAGCAGTTTGGGATGATAAATGGGAAGGTAGGAGTAAGGCTGGTGTGCACTGGAAGGCTTCATGAGCCCTTGCCAGTTTACGGCTTGAGGCTTGGGGCTTGCGGTTTAGGGTTTAGAGTTTCGCCCTTAGGCTTTAAGGTCCTAGTTAGACGCTCCAATCCCACATCCATACGAAAGCCAAAGCTGCTACATTGGAAGGTTCAGGTAAGCCCGATGTAAGCCTTAAAACCACTTAATGCCTCCATATCACGGGATGAGTCTTGACAGCTTTCCTGCACATGGCTTAGGGCTTAGGATTGCAGGCTACCACCACACCTGAAGCCTCATACAACATCACTGTGGCCCAAAACCCAAAAGCCTGAATCTCTAACCCCAAACCCTAAAACCACTCAACTTCCACCAACCTCAACCTTTAGCAGCTTAGGGTTTGGCGTTTACGGTGTAGGGCTTAGGTAACACGAGCTCCACACCTTCCACACCCAAAGCCTAGAAACACTCTTCTTGTAGCATGACATGAGTAGCGTTTTTTTTTGGGTGGTTAAACCCAGTAAGATTATATTCCTCATAGAAATATTATACCCCAAAAGGAGGATATAATCTTACTCTATATTGGGTACCAAAAAATCCCAAAATAAAAGACTACTCACATGAGCCACCTGATAGCAAATCTGCAGCCATGCCATCTTCCAGCATTCCTGGGTCAGGGGGTTCTGTTTTAGGGGGTTATGTCGGGTTTAGGGTTTAGGGTTTAGTGTGACTCTAGGATTTTCGGGCATAGTTTTCAGGGTTGGGCGGTTCCCGCTTATCATAGGTTTCCCTATTATCCCCCGCCCCTCTATACTACCCCCCTAGGTTCCCTCCTTGATTGAGGTTATTAAGAAACAGTTATGCCCAGTTCAATTTTCCGGCTTCTATAAAGCAAGGATTAATGTTTAGGGCTTAGGGAGTTGAGGGTTTGGGGAGTTTAGGGTTTTATGGACTTTAGGTTTATTTGGGGTCTAGAAATTAGGCTTCAGCTGGAGTAAGCAGCACTTGCAACTCCAACCCTGACCCGTGGACTCATCCTCTCACCCCCCCTTGAGGGTTTAGGGTTTAGGGTTTAGGGGGGTTCCCCCACTTTAAAAGTCTAGGTTCAGGATTTAGGGACTTAGGGTTTAGATTGGGCACTGACCCATATATGTGTATATATATAATACATACCAGACCATGAAATTTTAGCCGAGCGCGAAATTCAAGATACATCCGTAACTGTTGGGTACATCACCCTTGTTTAGGGACATTGGCCCAAACCCTACACCCTAAACGCTACACCCCTAAAGCCTAAACCCTAAACCCCTCAACCCTAAACCGCTAAACCCTAAACCCCTAAACCCTAAACCACGCACAACTTCAAACCGCGCATCCGTCTCTTCGAGCGCGCGGACTACGAAGGCATGGAGAAGGCAGGAGTAGAACTGAGCAATTTGCCAGCCTGGTCAGTTTAGAGTTCAGAGTGTAGGGTTTCCGGTCTAGGGTCTATAGGGTTTAGGGTTTAGAACTGAGCAATTTGCCAGCGTGCTCGTAGGGGTTTAGGCTTTAGGGGCCCAATCCATCCTTAGTGTGCCTAGCCCCCAAAAACCACATAGCCCCCAAAAACCACACTGTGTCTTGTTCCTTATTGAAACATTAAAAAAACTCGTAAGTCCACATTCCATATTGGGTTATAATAGCATAAGAAATCAACAGTGACGCAGTCTATGCCGATTGCCAGCCTGTGATGAGATGCTTGAAGGGGTTGCGCAGGCCGAAGGAGGTCCAAAGGTAGTGGGAGTACCTGACAGGATTCCCTAGGGGGGTTTAGGGGGGTTTAGGGGGGTTTAGGAGGGTTCTGGAACTCAGGAGTCGGAGAAGAAAACACCAAAACGAATGATGAAGAGCCCCAGAAGGTGTTGCTCTTTATGCTTCTAAGGTTCACGTCAGGATTTAGTGCTTCGGAGATTCCCATGAACCCTAAGCCCTAAACTGAAAGCTTCATCCTGGACCCTTGGCCCTGATCTGAGGACATTTTTGCTGTTCAGGGTTTAGGGTTGGAGTTGGTTTAGGGTTTAGGGTTTAGGGTCGGGGGGCTTCATGTGGTAACTCTAAACAGTTTTTTGGATTCTTGGAACGTTAGTGTCGTAAACAGCTTGAGAGGGAGTTAACGGTACTTGCTTTACGGCCTGTAGGGCGCAAAAAAGGTTTAGGGTTTAGGGTTTAGGGTTTACCAAGTCCCCAGTAATCCGCAACCCAAAGCTCTGAACGCTGTGATTACCAAGTCCCTTCGCCCTCCAAGTAGACCTAACTAAAACCCCAAAACCCCAAACCCTGAACCATAAAACCCTAAACCCCAAACCCTAAACCCTAAACCCTAAACCCAAACCCTAAACCCTAAACCCTAAGCCCTAAGCCCTAAACCCAAACCCTAAACCATAAACCCTAACGCCCTAGTTCAGGGTTTAGCGAGTTTGGGGCCTCAATGGTTACGGTTTAGGGTTTAGGGTTTAGGGTTTAGGGTTTAGGGTTTAGGGTTGGAGGGGGGCTATAAACGGGATATAGTGTTCTATAAGGACATGTAGAGACATGTAGGGCCTTAGGGTTTTCAAGAAACTACCATATTGGCATCAATTTCGGGACCACTCTAAATTATGGAAAACTCCACATGCTGCTCATCCTGTCCCACCTAAAATCTCTGACTACTGCAGCTACTAGATTTGCTGTGATTACGACACTGAAGTACTGCAGGATTACCTCCGCTTGAGCTAAAGTCTAAACCCCTAGTATACCCCTGAACAACCCCTGTAATACTCCCTATATAATCCCCCCGTATATCCCCCCTTTTAAGGAGTTTAAACTATAGCTCTTTTGTGGGGGTTAGACCTGATCCGTGACATCCCTTAACGCCGGACTCGATGCCTGAAACTCATGATGCAGAAGCCTAAATCATCATCATCTGCGCTCAAGTTACCAAGATATGCGTAAATGGTAAAGAATAAGGGTTTCTTTGTTATAGTAACTTAATCTAAGTCGCCAGAATATGGGTACATAGTCAATAAAGGGTTTCCTTGCTACATGAACTTGACTTAAGTTCCTTAACAGCAACCCAACTGATTTGCAGAACCGAGCACATGATGACGTGAGTCAGGGAATTGACCCAAGCGCCGTAACGGGTGGTGCCATTGGCAACGCCATTGTGCAGAAGGTAGCCCCAAACCTAGGTTTGATGTTCCCAGACCTAGGTTTGATGTTCCTATGACTAAACTCTAGACTGCAAACCCTAAATTCTAAACTCTAAACTCTAAGTTCCAAACCCTGAACTCTAAACCCTAGACTCTAAACTTCAAACCCCCGATCCTAAACTCTAAACCCTAAACCCTGAACCCTAGGGATTATATGGGGTTGTTATATAGGGGCTACATGGGGATAATGGAAAAGAAAACGAAGACTACTATTCAGTGTTTGCCTGGTCCCTCCAATGTAGTTCCTTTTCGAGTTTGGTATGCTGTTTTGGTTAGGACTCTTATCAGGAGTACCCAAAAAGTACTGCATTGGAGGGTCTAGGTACATCCTAAACCCTTTTCAACCCTACACTAGCAGCGCACATGAAAACATCAGAGCAAAACCCGAAACAAACTTTTGCAATCAGGACTTCAGGAAGCCTTGAAACAACCCTATACATGCAGGGCGCATATTAGGAGACCAAATGGGACCTTAGGGGGATCTTAGGGGATCTTTGTTTCTTGGGTCCTGTCAGACTGCACGTGGCCCGTTTGGAGAGTCTTGAGAGGCCATAAGAAAAACCTAGTTTGAGCTTTAGTGTATCCAGGCGCGAATACATTTCGTCCACCCCGCACCCCAAATCCTAAAACTCTCAGCGCCTTTTACCCCTGAACACCTACCTAAAACCCTGAACTCCCTAAGCCCGACACCCATAAACCATAAACCCTAAACCCATAAACCCATAAACCCTTAATAGGCCCCCTAAAACCGAAATTGATGCCCGGGTGGCCATTGGAATGGTCATATGGTGATAGACATGCCTGGGTTGCTGTTAAGGAACTTAAATTAAGTTACCATAATGGGTATCTATAGTAAATAATAGGGTTTCCCCAATATAGTTACTTAATTTAAGTTCCTTAACAGCAACCCAGATGCAGGAAGGAAAGCTGCTTCCGATTCCTTGGTTTCGGGTTTAGGGTTGAGGGTGCAACGGTGATTATAGGGTACAGGGTTTAAGGTTCAGGGTAATCACAACCTCTAACCCTCAAACCTTAAACCCCAAAGTTTAGGGTTTAGGACTTGGGCTGAGGGGTTCGGGCTAGGATTTATGGGTGTACAATTTAAGGCTTAGGGTGAATGGGGGCTGCTGTTCAGGCTGTGTAAACTTAATGTAAGGGTCCACGGACTCAAGCAGTAGGGTTTTAGGGCCCAAGTACGATTTATATTAAAGTATTTGGGCCCTAAAACCCCATTATTTGAGTCCTTGGACCCTTAGGGTTAGCGGTGTAGAGCTTTAGGGTTAAGAGCTTATACTAGTATGAGTTGTAGGATCCGGTATACGCGGATTAGGGCTGAGGGCTTATCGTTCAGCATGTTGGGTTGGGGCTTCAGGTTGAGGAGATAAGTCAAGAAATGAGGATCAGCAATTCGGCAGTTGGGGTTTAGGGTTCATGAAAGGAGGAACTATAAGCGTGGTCCCTCAACATGTCCGAAGTTGGCACTATGCTAAAGGAACCCCATGTCTGATGACCACAACGATGCCAAAACTGACATCTCATGCAGGTTTTCGGCTTGCTTGGAGGTCCAATGGTAACTACAGCACCTACGTACATCCTGAACGCATCCAAATCCTATTTCCCCCCACCCCCCCCGATTTCGCACCTCCAACACAAATCCCCTTAACACTAAGCCCATGAAACCTAGTCCCCAACCCGAAGCCCCTAAACCCAAGGACCCAAATCTGCAAAAACACCTACGCTCCACAACAACCAAACCCCACAACTCAACATCCAGAAAGCCACAAAACCCCTAATCCTAAACCCCTCTAATAAACCTCTAGACCCTACCTAGAGCAACATAGGCCCTCAAAAAGGTAAAGCTTTCAACATCCTAGGCCACAAAGCCCTTTCTGTTAGGTACAATGGTCTCTCTAGGTACACAACAACCCTAACCCGACCTAAACACTACACACCTAAACCCTCAACCCTAAACCCTGAACACCTAAACCCTAAACCGTATAGTCCCCCTTAAGTAGATAGAATATGGCTTTGGGTAGGTTAAAAATGAGATCCACGTATACCCCATATTCCATGTACTTAAGGGGGACTATAAACCTTAAACACCTAACCCCTACTGCGACGATGTAAACCCTAACACAACAACAAGCCAGAGTCTTCTTGAGGATGATCCAGAGTGTGTCGAACCAGTCCAAGAACCTGAGTTTTAGGGTTTAGAGTTTGGGATATGGGATTTAGGTCTTAGGGTTTAGGAATTAGGGTTTCGTTAGAGTTCAGGATTTGGGGTCAATAATCCCATCGCAACCTTCGCACATTATAAGAATGATGCACTCCCACCCCCCACCCCCAATTATGGTACGGGGGGGTTGGGGGGGTCCGGTATTAGGAGGTGATTCCTTGCGGGGAGGGAGGGGCCTAGGAACGCCAGGACATAAAGGGATTATGAGAGGGCTATAGGGATCCTGATCAAGGATGACATGAAGGTAACGTTGTGAAGGACACTGTGGGTTTTGGGAGAACTATGGATGCCCTGTTGGGTCCATGTTGGGGCCCCTGTTTATAAAACCTAACATGTAGGACTTGTTTAGGGTTTAGGGCTGAGCATTTTAGAGCTTAGGGTCTATAAGGCTCATTAGGGTTCAGGGCTTGGAGTTTGGGGCTTTCGGGTCAAAATACATGGACCAGCAAACCAAAGATTCAAAAATGTTCTTCAAGAACGCCAAGAGGAACTTGGACAAGTAGTGCACAAACACGAACCACTCGCCCTGAGCATCGAACTCCGAGTTGATCCCGAAGATGTTCGGGAACGAGATGCATGGCATAAGACCATAGACCATGTAAGAGCAAAGAAGGATCCTAAGTTCCCCAGTAACCCATTGATAATAAGGGTTATGTAGGGGTTATATAAGAATAATGGAAAAGAAAATGGAAACTACTATGGGGTTTAGGGGTTAGGGCCTAGGTTCCCCAGTAACCCATTAATGATAAGGGTACCCTTTTTCCTACTGTTCAGCTTTAATAAGGAGACCCCCAAATAAAAAGGGCGAAAGGGTACTACTGGGGTACCTAGCATCTGAATCACGTTGTAGATCTGCACGTAAAGCTTCAAGCTACCGTTCTTCTCCTGCTGCTTCCCGCTCTTGTGCTGGCTCCCCATGTCAATTGTGCCTCCGTTCCGGTAGGATGTTTAACTTATGGTCCTCCAAAGTGGGCACCAAAGTATACACCCACGAATAATCTGGCCAGATAATTCCCCTGTATTACACTCACCGAAAACAATCACAGAAAGCTTCTACTTCATAGGGTTATCCAAAACTCCTTGTTCAAGCCCTAAACCCTAAACCCAAAGACTTCCAACTCTGATTCCAGGAATCCCGCTTGCCTATGTAGTAGGTTGCAGCTAACGTGTTTTATCTGGAGAGTGAGGGGAGTGTCCCCCCAAACGAATTTGGAACCCTAAACCCTAAACCCAAAACCTTGGGTACTGCCCCCCCCTCAGTAACAGCTGGATAATACTTATAATATGGTCATATATAGCCCTTAATAGGACCCCTACTATAGACTGTTACTGGGTGGGCACAGTACCCAAACAAAACCCTAAATCAAATGGGAGGAAGGTCTCCAGAGCTCAGAATCTGATTCATGTTAAACTCAACACGAGGAGCGCTGTGGAGCTCAGTAGCTGTTCTATATGGGGATTTCCCCAAATTAGGGATACCTTTTTGGGGGGTCCCCCCAATAAGGACTATAGTATTTGGGGGGAAATATTGGGGATAAAAAAACTACCATATTGAGTCCAACTTGTAAGGAAAGACGTTTGCTTTCTGCAGTCCCCAAAGGGGCCGGAAATTTCGGATAATTCAGTGCCCCCCAAAACATTCGTCTTTTGAAGGTCCGAGCAGCTGCTGGAGTACCACTTTGCAAAAACGATTGCCTAGCATAAGCGAAGAAGGTTTTTCACACAAACTCCTTGTTTTTGGACCGGGCCTGAAACCTGAAATCCTGAAGCTTAAGATACGTGAGCCAAACGTTCTAATCTGATAGGAACACCTTGGATGAGGATCCACCCATACTTTTGAAAGCGCTTAGCTTTCGTTGTACCTACCGATTCTAAACATTCTATAGGGCCGCGCAACTTCGCACAATCAGCGCCAACAAACGAATCGCAGGGTGCTAAGCGATTTTGCCGAGGCTTCGCACAAATCAGAGCCCCCCAAGCTACTCGGAATTCAACATAAGCGAAGACTTGCAGTAAACCCTAAACACTGAACCCTGAACCCGTAACCCGAGACCCTAGATCCTAAAGCCTAAACCCTGAACCCTTAACCCTAAGCCTTAAAGCCTTAATCCCAAAGCCTAAACCCTAAAACCTGAACCCTAAACCCTAAAACCCTTTTACCAAGAGCTCAATGGATGATGTTTCTATTCTGTGCGTCCACCTCGCCCAGCCGTGAGCAGCAGCAAGCCATAAGCCCCAAAACCTAGACCCTGAGAAGCCTATTAGCTTCCATGTTCCTTTCCACTCCCCCTAAACCCTATGCCCTAGACCCTGAACCCCAACCCTTAACTCTAGACCCCCTTAAGCAGCAAGCCCTACATCCTAAGCCCTGAACTCTAAGGGTTCAAGTAATCCCTTCCTCATATTAATA